CTGGATTCTCTCCACTGCCGCCCAGGGTCCACCATGCCCACCACGCCCCGGCACACAAAGTGCAGGGCTGGGAGCTGCACCATCACCCTTTCCTCTGTCTGCGTCACCAGCTGGGTCAGGTGCAAGCTCCTTTGAGAAGAGAGAGAATAGGAGGCCCAGCAGCTGAGCAGCCTGCAGCCCCACATGATGAAGGCAGTCTGGGGTTTGGAGGCCCTGGTCAGGAACCCTTCTACCAGAAGCCCAAGGGCTGCACAGGTGTCAGGCAGCAGACAATGCCCAGCAGAGGACATAGGAGGAGTCCAGTGAGGGGGACCTAGCTAGGAGGGTCTTCTCTCCTCGGACCTTCCAGGAAATTCCATGTCCCTCCCCAAGCTCCAGGCCTATCCACCCTGGTGCCTGTGGTGCCCAGTGCTCCATGCAGTTCAGCTGTGTCCTGGATGCTGACCACTTCCCTCACCCCACAGCTTGCCTCACCAGGAGATAATGCAGCACCAGGGTTGTCCCCACTCCACATCCTTGTCTGCTCACAGCTCCATCAGCCCCGACCAGCCCCAAGCACTGTCTCGTCCACCAAGGACACCCCACTGCTCTTATCCTGCCAGCTCCTCCAAGCAGTCCAAAGGTCCCATCCTCCCAGAAGGAGACCAGCACACCCAGCAGAGGCTCAAAGAAGTGGTGGTTAACACAGAATAAGTGTCCCAGCAATTCTACCCCTGGACACAATCACCCAAACACATCCAAACACACATCCACCTACATTCCCAGCAGGCTCATCACCGCGGCCAGGGTGGACCCCCACCCAGTGTGCACCAGATGGGTGAGCATGCTGTCTGCAGAGACCCTCCCAACACACCCCAGGCAAGTTTTAAGGACGCCCAGCCTGTGGAGGGGCATAGACCATCCGTGTGCAACACCCATGGCGGGCAGGTCAGCAGGGACAGTGTGAGAGCAGCTGTGTGCTGGCCCCGCCGTGTAACTAGGGCCAGGGGCTGTGCAAATGTGAAGTGTCTGTGGCCCGCCATGGGATCTGACTGTTGTGTACCATCTAACCTGACCTTCCAGCAGGGAGCCAGAAGCTGGGAATTGCACAGGAAGACATCATCCACCTTCCTGCCAAGGGGAACGGATAACTAACTAATAATGTAAATGAAGATGCCACCCTTGTGAGGTCATTGTCGTCAGGTGCTATCCAAATACTGCACACAGCAACCCTGTGAACACCACCTGAACCTTGCCTTGCCTACCCTGTCACCTGATCCCTGGCGCTCACACCCACTGCAGTCTGCACTGCTGGTCCATCTGACTGAAGGTCTTCTCTTGCTGATATCTACCTTTCCCACCACAGCATCTCTCTCCAAGGCCTGGCTCCACTTGACAACATGCCCAGTTGCGCCTGTTCTCAAATATATGAAATGAAATTTCACCATCTCTGCCTCTAAGGAGTGCTCTGATTGCACTTCCTTCAGGCCAGATTCGCTCCTTTGGAAGCCTAAGGAATATTCAGTACTCTTCTCCAATACAAAAATTCAAAGACATTGATTCTTCTTCAGTCATCCTTAAGCAATGTCCAACTTTCGGGTGCACAGAAAGCAGCTTAAAATACTATGTCTTAGATAAGGTGCACCTTGGTCTTTAAACTGACATCCTTGCTCTTTAACACTTTGGAGAGGTCCTTGACGACACACCTTTTGACTTCTTGACTCCTGGTACCAAGGTGTTGATTATGGATCCAAGTAAAAAGGAATCCTTGACAACGTCAATCTTTTCTTCATCTATCATGGTCTTACCTATAGGCAAACTTGTCTGTCAGTTTGCTGTATGAGATGGCTTGTGTGTTGCTGTGATGCTGGAAGATGTGACACTGGTATTTCAAATACTAGTAGGGTCACCCATGGTGAACAGGCTTCACCAGAGCTTCTAGATTAACACAGATTAAGAAGCAGACAGCACAGATAGACTGTCCTGGAGAGGGTTAAACCAGGCTGCTCTTTGGAGGCAAGGATTCTGAGACTTTGCCTGACATACTTTGGACATATTGTAAGGTGAGACGGGTCCTTGGAGAAGGACATCATGCTTGGGAGGCTGGAGGGACAGTGCAGGAGGGGAAGGCCCTCTAGGAGGTGGATTGCATTCGGTGACTGGGGCAATCAGGATGAGTGTGTCGGAGACAATAAGATTGGCACAGACAGAGCAGAGTTTAGAGCTGTTGTACATAGGGTCACTATGAGTCGCAAGAGACTCGATGGCACATAACAACAACAACAACAAGAAGCAAACCAAGCCTCCAACCTTCGCCGTCGTCTCATGAAATAACAAGCCTTCAAAAATTCTGTGGGCCATGAAAGAACACCATTGGCTGTACCCCTTATTTTGGAAAGCATCCAACATCTGTCTCCTCACAGGAGAGTCTCCTGGACTGACGCAGGTGGAGTAAAGCTCTCACCCACTGACGGGCCTTCATTTCTGGTGTGTGAGACTCAAAATGAGGGACAACAGCTGCAAACAGCCTGTTGTAATTGGAACATGGAACATGTGGAGCACAAATCTAGGAAAATTTGAAGTTGTCAAAAATGAAATGGAAGGAACAAAGACTAACAACCTAGGTCCTTAGTGAGCGGAGATGGGCTGGTACCTTGGGCCTCTCTGACTGAGATGGGCTGATAACTTGGGTCTCAGTGAGCAGAGATGGGCTGGTACCTTGGGCCTCTGACTGAAATAGGCTGGTACCTTGGGCCTCTGTGAAAGAGATGGGCTGGTACCTTGGTCCTCAGTGAGCAGAGATGGGCTGGTACCTTGAGCCTCAGTGACTTAGATGGGCTAGTACCTTGGGCTTCTGTGACTGAGAAGGGCTGGTACGTTGGGCCTCAGTGACTGAGATGGGCTGGTACCTTGGGCCTCTGTGACTGAGATGGGCTGTCACCTTGGGCCTCTGACTGAGAAGGTCTGATACCTTGGGCCTCAGTGAGTGGAGATGGGCTGGTACCTTGGTCCTCAGTCACTAAGATGAGCTGGTACGTTGGGCCTCAGTGAGTAGAGATGGGCTGGTACCTTGGGCTTCTGTGACTGAGATGGGCTGGTACCTTGGGCCTCAGTGACAGATGAGCTGTTGTCAGCCACTTTTAGTCAGACAATCATTGATCTACTATGCCGGAAATCACAATCTGAAGTGGAATGGTGGCATTTCAAGCTCTCCCCTGAAGTACAGTGCTGTGAGGGGTAGGACACTTTCCATATACACATAGGCAAGTCTTATCACAACCATTTCAAACAGACTCCCCAGCTATGAAGGCCAAAGATGAAAAAATTGAGGGTTTCTATCAACTCATGCCGTCTGAAACGGGTTGAGCTCACAATCAAGATGCCTTTGTGGGATTCTGTTGTTGTTAGGTGCCGCCGAGGTTTAGTGACTCTATAAACAACAGAACTAGACGCTGTTCTGTCCTGTGACAACGACACATGCAAACTCATTGCTACAGTCACTGAGTCAGTTTTTGTGGGATGGACCATGCAAATCAGGTCTGAGAAAATATAAAATCAGATTGGTCCCAGAGGCAGAATGGACACCTCAGGGCCATCCAGAAAGAAGCTGGAATGTAGCATCCCTGTCTTAAGGATGCCCTGAATCAGGGGTCAAGTGGGGACCAGAGAAGACAACTGGACAGGGAGGAGGACAGGGGGAAAGGGATAGAGGGTGAGACCAGAGGGGAATGATGGGGGACGGAAAAAAGGATAGAGATAGAGGGGGAAGAGAGAGGATAGGGGTCAAAGAAGGCAAGGGGTGACAGAGGGACCGAGGGAGGAAAGAGGGCATAAAGGGGGAAGACAGAGAGGGGATTTGGGAGCAGAGAAAGGGGGAGGGGTCAGAAGGAACAACAGGGGAACAGAGAGGGGGTGGGGGATAAAGAGAAGAGAACAGACAGAGAAGAGAGGGACAGGGACAGAGAAGAGGATGGGGAATAGAGGAGGAAGACAGAGAGGGGACAGGAGAAAAGAAACAGTTCAGTCAGTCAGCTGGAGGCAGAGTCATGGGCCTCACCCTCTGGGCAGGAAAATGGGGAGGCGGCCTTCGTTGCCTTCTCACTGGCAGTGTGGTGCCTTCAGGAACTGGCTGGGGGGGAGCTGTATTTGTGGAACCACAACCCAGAGTTAAGGCAGAGCCCTTTGGTCCCAGGTCTGCTCAGTGTGCGGCCTGGCACTTCAGTGAGGCTAACAGCGCTTCCCACACTCGGCCAAGCAGAGCAGAGGCTGTGGCTTCCGGACCAGGCCAGCAGAGAGAAGAGACGCTGTCCTGGTCCCAGCTGTACAGCTGAATCCTGCGTGGTCTCTAAACTGAAGTGCAGCCTGTTACCGCCTGTTGTTGTTGTGTACCATCAAGTTGGCGCTGACTCCAGAATGTTTTCAGTAGCAGGAAATCACACAGGAGGAGACTGCCCACTTTTCTCCCATGAGGTAGCTGGTGGATTTGAACCACATGCCTTTGGGTTGGCAGTACAGCTCATTGCTCCCCTAAGAACCCCAGAATCCTGAGCTTTGTGAGTTCTGAGTGCCCTTTGCAAAGATTAGAAAACGCACTGAAGGGTGAGTGTGGAGGGAGGGACAGCCTCTGTCTGAACTGGTAAGAAGTTCTTGAACATGACAACATTCTGGCCTCATAGGGGTCAGCCTGGGCCTGAGGATGCTGCCACAGGAATTCCTTCTCCTTGTGAAGGAAAAGGAGATCAGACAGGCCATTCCCAGGCCTACACCATTTGCACAGCAATTGCCAGGGGATGGGGACAGGGGAACGAGGTAGAAGGGTAGCTGCTAGTGAGTACAGGTTTCTCCTGGAGGTGATGGAATATTCTGGAAGCAGGCAGGAGTACAGCTGTACAGCCCCATGAGTGTACTGAAAGCCAAGCAGCTGGATGCTTCAAGCAGGCGGATTGCAGGTCCACGCAGTGTCTCAATTTTTTCAGTGAGTAAGCCTGGCTAGCTGTGGTACGCACCTGGTGATGCCTAGGTCAGGGCTCCCGCTTGACCACGCCACGCAGGTGAAGCTCGCTCTCGGCGGCCACAATAGGCTGTCCATTCTGCAGGTGGTAATCAATCAGGTGGCTGATGCTCTCAAATAGCACGTCCTTCGTCCGCACCTGGGGGTTGGAGGCAGCAGCATCAGCATCAGAGCCTGGTACACAGGGGCCTGGTGCCCAGATCCTGGTATTTGGGGGCCCAGTGTCCAGGGCCTGATGCCTCGATCCTGGCATCTGAGGGCTTAGTGCCTGAGACCTGGGACTGGGGGCCCAGGAGGGTGGTACCTGGGATCCTGGTACCCAAGAGTCTGGAACTCAGGGGCTTAGTGCCTAGATGCCAGTACCCAGGCACATGGTACCTGGAGACCTGGTATTCAGGGGCCTGGTGCCCAGGACTTAGTACCTGGGGTGTGGTATCCAGGGGCCTGGTACTCAGGAGCAAGGACTAGGCCACACCCAGCCTGCTGACAGAGCCCATGTCTCTAGAACCCTCTGTAGGGCCCCGAGGCTCGCTGGGGGCTGAGAACGCCAGGTAGGAACCCTGAGGGCTCCAGCTATGGGTTACCCTCAGAGTCCTAGAATCTCAAACCTCCAAATCTACATTCTGGTGGTGGGCTGAGCAGAGGCCAGAAACTACCTGATGGCCAGCCCTGGGCTGTGAGGCTAGCCTATGTGGAAGCAGGGTCTTTGCAGATGCAATTAAATGAAAGGCCAAAAATGGGGATGCCACCTTGGGTTGTCCAACCCTAAATTCAACACCATGCCAGGCTTCAGTGACCTGAACAAACTAGCAGTGGCTTTTTGGAATCAATTAATCTCATAGTCGACTGTGCTGAGGAAGGCAGACACATGGGAAATAGCGTCACATTCATCTGCAAAAATAACGTTTCAAAGTCTGCTCAGAAGCACAATTTTCAGTAGTAATATAGTTTATATGGAGGCATAAACAACTCCATTAATGCAGGTATTACTCAAACTTAAGAAAATCTAAAACAAAAGTCCTTACAAAGGATAAATAAACACACTGTAATAAGAAAAGCTCCAGGTCATCACGGATGAAAACGGAAGTCAGGGATCGCATGTGTGACTGCACTGGACAGCCTCCTGGCAAGACAAGCTAGACAGCACTTTATAGGCTAACGAGCGCGTGTGACTGTGGGACAACAAGAAAGGAAGGTCAAAGAGCACGTGTGAACGGGTGAAGGTGGGATGAGAAAAGAAGGTCAAAGAGTGCATGTGTACGTGGGGTCAATGAAATAGGAAGGTCAAAGAGTGCGTGTGAACGTGGGATAATGAGAAAGGAAGGTCAAAGAGTGCATGTGAACATGTGACGAGAAAGGAAGGTCAAAGAGCATGTGAGAATGTGGGACGAGAAAAGAAGGTCAAAGAGCATGTGTGAACGTGGGACGAGAAAAGAAGGTCAAAGAGCATGTGTGAACGTGGGACGAGACAAGAAAGTCAAAGAGCACGTGTGAACGTGGGACAATGAGAAAGGAAGGTCAAAGTGTGTGTGTGAACATGGGATGAGAAAAGAAGGTCAAAGAGCATGTCAGAACATGGGACAATGAAAAGGGTAAGTCAAAGAGCATGTGTGAACATGGGATGAGAAAAGAAGGTCAAAGAGTGCATGTGTACGTGGGGTCAATGAAATAGGAAGGTCAAAGAGTGTGTGTGAACGTGGGATAATAGAAAGGAAGGTCAAAGACTGCGTGTGAACATGTGACGAGAAAGAAAGGTCAAAGAGCATGTGAGAATGTGGGACGAGAAAAGAAGGTCAAAGAGCGTGTGTGAACGTGGGACGAGACAAGAAAGTCAAAGAGCATGTGTGAACGTGACACGAGAGAAAGGAAGGTCAAAGTGTGTGTGAACATGGGATGAGAAAAGATGGTCAAAGAGCACGTGTGAACATGGGACAATGAGAAAGGAAGGTCCAAGAATTGACATCTTTGCATTGTAGGACTGACAGAATAATGAACATCTCATCAACTTCCAAGAGAATAGACAGATCTGTATTGGATGAGGTATAGTGAGAGTGCTCCCAAGAGCCAAGGATGGAGACACCTGGTCTCACATACCTCAGGCATGTTGTCAGGAGGGGGACAGTCCCTGGAAAAAGATATCTCACAGAGGATCACTGGAGAGGAGCAGCCCCTCAACAAGCTGGACTGACACGGTGACAGCAGCAATGGGTGTACACGTGCAGAGACCGTGAGGGTGGTACAGGTCTGTGGAACACAGGGTCAGAGTGACTCAAAGACACCCAACAATAATAACATCTGCAGTCTAAAACTGATCAAACACACAATCAAGATTCATTAATGATAATTAGTGATTGGAATGCAAGAGGGGGAAATGAAGAAAAAGGATTATTGGTTGGAAAATAGGGTTTTGGTAACAGAAATGGTAACTGGCTATCACATTATTTAATTTTGTACAACCAACAACTTATTCACTGAAAAATAGCTTTTTAAGAAACAGAAGTAACTGTACAGACTCTGCCTGATGGAATACTCAGAAACTAAGCCCAGCACCATCAGCCAGAGGCCAGGAAATAAGAACACCGGTCATTCACTTTCAAGTTCACAGTGAAGAAAAAAAAAGTCCATGGGAATCAAAACACGACCTGAACTGTATTCCCCCTGAATTTAGAGATCATCTCAAACAAGGCTGCATTGGTTATACAGAACACGCATGCCCATGGACCGGGAGAACTGTGGGCTGACAGCAAAAACATCATCCATGAGGAAGGCAGTCACTGAAAAGACAAGGAAAAAACGATATCAGAAGAGATTCTGAAGCTTACTCTA